GATTAACTGTCTCCTGGTCTAGAGCTTCTCTGGGGATTTGTCCACATGTTTTATATCTGGGACAATGACCACAAAATATCATGTATTTTGTGTATCACAGAAAAAGTGCTCCTTAGAAAACGATTTACCCTATTATATGGCCATTCCACATTTCCACCTTAGATTAAAATAAGGACAAAATGCTAACATCTAACTCTGTAGAGGAGATTCCTAATTGTGGGACTATTTAATTGATCATTATAAATCATAAGTACAAATTATCCATAGCAAACTGTGTTATTTAGAGCAAAAAAAAAGCTATTTTCATGATAACCATTGATAAGTGCTTTGAGTTGGTTGTAATGAACAATTTCCTGAAATCAGAAATAGTTAAAAAAAGATAAGGGTCTATAAAGTCTATAGTATTTTTAAATATTATATATTTGTTTCAGTTTATGTTTATAACAAAAAATTGTTTGATGCTTTTCTCAGGGGTGTGTGTGTGTGTGTGTGTGTGTGTTTGTGTGTGTTTTAACGAAAATGCATCAGACCGTGTTTGGGTTTGAACTCTAGTGGAGAGAAGGGTAGGCAATTCTTAGCAAATCCTGTAATGTAGAAATGAACGATAATCTATAATGCATGTGTGCCTTCATGTACCTATATATTCATGTAGATATTCTGGAAACAGGTACATATATAAATACAGCAAAGAGTAATTCTACCACTGAACTTTTAAAAATAGAAACATAGCCCTAACCGGTTTGGCTCAGTGGAAAGAGCATCAGCCTGCAGACTCAAGGGTCCTGGGTTTGATTCTGGTCAAGGGCATGTACCTTGGTTGTGGGCACATACCCAGTAGGAAGTGTGCAGGAGGCAGCTGATCGATGTTTCTCTCTCATCGATGTTTCTAACTCTCTATTCCTCTCCCTTCCTCTCCGTGAAAAATCCAATAAAATATATTTTAAAAAATAGAAACATAATTAGAATGGATGCAGACATAGAAATACAAAAATATAAATAGAATTAATTATGCAGTTCACTTCAAGAGTGTCCAGCAAAGTCTTAGCTGAAAGGGCAGCCTGAAGCCATCAACTTAGTGCAAGAACGTTTGCTGTAAGGGACGAGATGGAACTGGATGAAGTGGACACTATTGTGCAAACATGTTGAGGCGAAGTGGCTTGAGTTATCAAAGTGACAGACAGGCAGTAATTACCCTTATAGACAGACAGAATGCCACACTGTTTACAAATATCCAGAAAGCTTAAAAGCCTCCTTCTATGAAGCCATACTAGTTCATATAGGTATCTGCAAGAAACATGAATAGAAGGATCTCATTTGTAGTCTGTTTCAACATTCAGAAGGATGACAGCACAGTGAAGTCAATGGTGGTAATGGATATTAAATATAAAATACAGAGAAAAAAACAGATCTGCTGTGTGATGGTGCCAAGTGGGTGAGATGCAAAGGCATATTGCTCTCAGAGTTTGACATCCTCTTTGGAAATATTATTTGCCAAATCATTTAAGTAAAACTTGTGACATAAGGAGAATGAATTGGTGCTCTGTGGGGACAGAGTGGCAATTCTATCTTGGAAAAGCAATAAAACTAAAGCATAGTTATGTGTGGAGTTGGTGGGGAAATCTCCATAACTAGAAACTTACATATTCATTATCTCTTTTGTACAGAGATAGAGTTTAGAAGTTTCTGAGGGTTTCATTGTTGTTATTGTGATTACACGTCATAATTTGAACAGATGTAACAGCAAAGTATTATTTAGATATATTATTTTCAAAAGTATATTTTTCTCATTTCCATTAACACACTTAAATGAGGTTTCAAATGTCTCTCTGTTTTGGTATATGTCAACAATTTAAATGATAAACTTTTAGAATGACATAAAATTCTGGTATTACTCAGATACATGCATAAGGTTTACCCAGACATTTAGTAATTTATATTTGATAGTTGAAGAATATTGTGAAGGTACTTTAAGCCTTACCAAAATGGCTATGACATGGACTTGGGAATAAAAGTCTCTAGATCATGTTGATCAGTGCATTTTCAAAATTTGCAGATTTCCGGGGGGAGAGGGGCGAAAATAAAATCACTTTCCTGGGTTTTAATTTTGTCTGCGGAAATACTAACATGAACCTATCTATTGTGTTCCCTTGTCGTGCTGTGTGTTGTCCTGTCTTAAGATTATGTGCAGGGACGAATCATCAAAATGCGGAGTGGAGCGAACCTTTTCTCGAATACTTAGCAAGAGGACCCCAGCTCTGCCCACGGTCTCCATCTCAGCTAGTGCGGACGTGTGAGCAAAGGTCTGCAGCATCAGACACACCTCTAAAGGGACTTTCTGAACTTGCAGCTAATCTCGGGGAAGAGAAGATAGATTTAATTTATTTGAAGTTTTTATGTTAATATTTTTTTACCTCGCTAGCTTAAGAATTTTGCCAGTCTCTGAATTTGCACATTTCGTATGATTCGTTTTCCTTTGGGCAGCGTTAAACAAGCCAAGCGGAGTATTTGCCATTCCAATGAACGTGCAGCTCAAACGCAAACCCCAAGTTTGCTGTCAGTTACAATATGTTCAATACCAAGTCATATTTTAAAGGTCAAAGTGAATGTTTTTGTAACATTTAAGCATATTTCAAATGTAAATAGGAGATTGTAAAATATATGGTTTTTACCAAAATTAAAAGAACCTTTTTGGTTGATACTTATGATGTGCTAAAAATTATATGCATAACATTTCAGATACCATTATATTAAAATATTTGTCTATGTGTACAAAAGTGTTGATAAATACTAATCTTTAAAGTTTGTGGAGTTCCTTTATTGTAATATATGTGCTCTTAAATGCAATGGGCTGTGAAATTATGGAAGTATTTTGTTGTTAATAGAAATAAAAATACAGTTCCTTTGCATTTGGTTCTCTCATGACGAGTGGGTGAGTCCCTACTAAAAGTAGTTCATTGGACTGGGCATGTACTAAATGCGACCCTACATTCACTACTTATGATGCCTTACCTAGAAACATAAAAAGGACTTGGACTTCAGCAAGGCAGTTCTTCCAAAAAGATCAACTAGACAGGCCAGAGGTTTTCAAACCTAGGGGATTAGCAGACTGATGTGGAGAAGATATAATGAATCAGAATCTCAAGGGTTGTGTAATTACTAAGGTTATTCATAAATACCTCATCTCTACATTCTGCAAATGTGTGGTAGGATTGCACTTTCCTTCCTCTTTTGAAGTTAGACTTGACCATGGGGCTTGCTTTAACCACTGAAAGGTGAGCAGAAATGGAATGTATCCTTTTCAAGCAGAAACTTAGAAGCTAGAAAGTGGTTCTGCCCAATCTCTTCTCTGATGCAGTCATCTTGAAGCACATGGATTAGAGCCTCAGTGAGACACACACACACACACACACACACACACACACACACACACACCAGTCCCTACTAACCTTGTTGGACATAGAGTCTTAATGAGAAATACATTTGGTTGTGTTAAGGTGCCTGAGATTCCAGGATTGTCTGTTATTGCAGCACTATGAGCTTATCCTGGCTGATAAGTACTTTTCTCAAAATTGTGATGATATACAGCCAGGTTTGGGAACCACTAACACATTCCACCTCCCTCCCCTAGCCGCCTGTCTCCCTAGCCAACACCAGCAGCAGTGCATCTGAGCAAAGCTGCCTGAAGATGCAGAAGGTAAACTCAGGAGTGTCTTCATATTCACCCCACCAGCCTCTGCCAAAGGCCCAACTTCTAATAAGGAGACTAGCTGAGTTCATCTTTCTGCTACTTAAGTTTAGAGGACAGGGCCTAGAAGACATTGAAATACTGAATATACTGAAGTGATTAAATATAATTTAGGTGAGAACTCTGATCCAAGATTCATGAAACTTTTCTCAAATACAGCTCACTGCTTTATTAAGCGCGCGCACACACACACACACACACACACACACACACACTGACCTCTGGCAAGTTTAATTATGGAATGCATGCTTATAACCACTGTGCTACATGCCTTCAAGCTGACCTCTAGATCAAAGCATTGCCTTGGCTTCATTCTGGCTCCAGCTTGGTTTCTTACTGCTTGGGTCAGCATCTTAGTTCTGCCCTTTCTATTTTCTCATTTGGATTTTTGGGATTGTCTAGGCATGATTGTTGTCCCATGAACCCAAGAAGAGTTTGCCTCTGCTATAGTTGCCCACCCAATTCTTACCTCTAGGCTCTAGGCTCAAGTCTTCATGCCCATCCCAACCCCTGGCCTATAGACACCTTCAGCAATGGGTTGCCTGTCCAAATCTGAACATAAAAATAGATGTGTGGGTACTTTGCAGAGGGGTATACATGGCATGTGTTAGTTAAGCAATAATATGAGCAACTCACTCTGTCTTCCCACATCATTCCAAAATAATCAGGATCTAATTCTCCTGATTCTCAGATGACATTCAAAGTCTGATGATTACTGAGAGAACCTCATGTGTATAAGGCCAATAAAAGAAGTTTAAAAACATGAACAAATTTACATGGGATCCTGAATTTTTTAAGAGGGTAAAAAGGAGTTTAAGGAGTGGTAAGAGTTGGCATCTGAGAGCCCCCTTGGCTTGTGTCTTGAGACTTACTGAGAAAAATCCATAGTCTACTTAGAGAACACAGTCCCATCCTGATCAGGAGTTCATTTGCCTGAGATGGAACATGGTAAGTGTAGACTCACCTATGGGCACATGAGAGGAGCAGCTATGAGAAGAGGGTAGATAAGGATAAGAAGAAGAACATGTTTGGATTTATAACATGGTTGCTTTAAAAGTTCCAGGTGAATTATGGAGATGGGGAGATGATATCAAAAAATCGAAATGCCCAATGAAAGTTCTAACCTCCTTTGTCTTTCCCTTGCCTCTTGATATCCCTGTAGCAAATGCATGTGGTTACAGATGGAAGGTAAGATAAGACTAATTAGATGGAGATATTGTAAATCATAAGTCTCATGACAGACACTACAGTAAGCACATAAAGTTGTTCTTAGAGGGATATGAAGTGAGAGATAGATCAAAACATGCCCAACTGGGGTTCATGAAGGTCATTCGAAGAAGATAATGGTGATTGAGCTTGAGTAATTAAGCAAAGGTTTATTTTAAATAACACTAATGTCAATGATTCTCCAAGGGAATCTATTTGCAATTTTCTAACATCATTAATATTAATACCCAACTATCAAGTCATTGTTTCTTGGATGTATTCCTAATGTATAAAGGATATTTACTTTTGAAGCTGATGGCTTGTAGTTCTTCAAACGCACTCCATAACTATAACTACTAAATCCAGGGTATATAGAGTTTTTAACTTATAAACAAGATCATGGTATTTACAGGACATTAAGTTGAACAAGATATTTTATTGGACATCATGTCCTATTGACAGAGGAAGTTTGTTTCATGATATTTGCATGGAGTTTAGTGACTTACTTTAATTTCTATGGGACTGGTCTTCTGCAATATTATTTTTCCCTTTGGATGAACAATTTTTAAAGTAATAAAGAATATTAGTAAAGTTCTAGAACTCAGGTTAACAAAAAAAAATGGAATCTTTACTTTATAACAAAAGTCAAGTAAAAGGAAAATCCAGACTGAAAGGCTCTGGAGCAGCCGTGGGCAAACTACAGCCCGCGGGCCGGATCCAGCCCATTTAAAATGAATAAAACTAAAAACACAAAAAAGACCGTACCCTTTTATGTAATGATGTTTACTTTGAATTTATATTAGTTCACACAAACACTCCATCCATGCTTTTGTTCCGGCCCTCCGGTCCAGTTTAAGAACCCATTGTGGCCCTTGAGTCAAAAAGTTTGCCCACCCCTGCTCTGGAGTATTCTACAAAAATATCTACAAGCAGCAACCCAAGACGCCGGCAGAGGCCTTTCACCTACTCAAGCTCACAAACACTCCTCTGGACTTCTGAAGTGGAATAAGCCTATCATGTTCTATATCAACGTTATTTTACACATCTCAGAATGGCTTCCATTTGGCTCTATTCATATGTACATCATTAAAGTGTGGGTTTTCAAATCAAGTTATCAATAGATAAAAAGACACACTAAATGCATGGAACACAAATGAATCTAGCCCAGCAAAGCAAGCCAATACTTCCCTGACTCCCAGGCACATCACCAGCCCTGGGAAGGCTGAGGTTTCCCATTTGCAGAAGGTCCCATACAATGAGGCATCTGTTTGTTTCTGAAGGATGTCATGGCAACGTTATTTTACACATCTCAGAATGGCTTCCATTTGGCTCTATTCATATGTACATCATTAAAGTGTGGGTTTTCAAATCAAGTTATCAATAAGATAAAAAGGCACACTAAATTTGAATAACAGGTTTTAATATTTGAACCACTGTTGACTTTTTTCACTCATCAAACTTGCAGCTTTTCTACTTCTTTCAACAAACTGAGAAAGGAGAGCAACTTCATTGGAATTAGCAACTTCTTGCTAAACTTGATGACATGCCCTTTGAAGTCTAAATGTTAATATATTTTTATATATTAGGAAGTAACATTTTCCTTGTCAGAATTCCCCACTTATGTTTTCTGTATTGTGATATTTTGACATCTGAATATGCAATTAAGTCAGATCTGGAAGATTTCTATAGAAGTGCTTTGCCAAGGATCAGTAACAAACACCTTCTCTGGGTTTCACACAGCTAAGATGCTACATGGTTCAAGAATGTGGAATAAGAAATTCATAGAGGCAGAGATAAAACAAATAGCTGAATCTAAGCATGCAACTCTTTCAAGGCAAAGCTTGCATCTTGTGTGCCTTTGTATTCCAGAGATCTAACTAATTGTCTGGCACAGAGAAGGGTCCCCATCAACACTTTTGGACATATGGGTGAATGAACAAATAAGTAACCCAAACAAACTATCAAGGTTAGACTTCCTTGATCAATTTCATATTAACTAATTACTCTTTGCTTTTCCTACTTGTGTCATTAAAGATAGAAAGTATTAAACTGGAATGTCCTTGTGGCTGTTAGCATGGGCTCTGGCGCAGGTAGAGAACACCAGTCATACCACTAATTGCCTATGTGATGTTGAGTTAGAATTCTCACTGGGTTTCATCATCTGTAAAATGTCAAAAATAAATACATTTATTCTTGGGGATTGTTAAAAAGATTAAGTAAAATAAAGAACAGAAAGTACTCAGCACACAGCCTGGCAACAATAGCCCTCAATAGCTGTGAGTTATAACTGCTAATATCATATCAAACAAATAGAATCCACTTGAGAAGTTGGGGTTATGACTTTAAATTATTTTTAATACTATTTATTAAAAGGATGGTTAAATTAAGTAATGCATAAACTAAAAAATGGGTAATTCCATGATCTTGAATGAATACCTCGAGCGAGTTGGAGGCCCTAGGCGGTTTCCCTTTCTCAAAGACTGCTGGCCTAGTGCACACTACCCTGTAGGTGCTCAGTAAGTGGTGTTAAAAGTGCACAAATACTATTTTTTACTTGCATGTATCCCTAAAAAATGATGTTGCCCACTGGCTTGGCTTGAGATAAACCCACTGAAATTGCCCATAAAAGACAAAAGTGAAATTAATCACTGACAGAGAAAATGAATACAGAAAAGCAGTTATTTGCTCAAAGATGTTTCTCTTTTTAATTAGTGCTGTCAAAAATAATTTAGCATAGCCCTAGCCAACTCAGTGGTTAGAGTGTGGGCCTGTAGACTGAAGATCGAGGGTTCAATTCCAGTCAATGGCATATACCTCGGTTGCAGGCTCGTTCCCCGGCTCCTGTCGGGGGCAACCAGTCAATGTGTCTCTCCCATATCAGTTTCTCTCTTTCTGTCTCGCTCTCTTCCTTCCACTCTCTCTAAAAATCAATGGGAAAAATATTCTGGGGTGAGGAGTAACAAAATAATAATAATTTAGCATAGAATTTGCCTTCTGTGTTAGAGAATTTGATCTTCCTGAGTGACAGAAAGACAGTAGGAAGATGTGAGGTTTGATAGTATTAAAAAGTACTCAGAAGCTACAGAAAAACAAGAGGACTAATGTGAAACCCTGTCCTCCTGAGTGTTCAGAAATTGAGACTGACGGACCATTGAGTTGATTAATGTTCTCAAGAATCATTTACTATCATTAATACCAAAAAACCTGACTCAAAATATAGCATTGAATTAAATCAACAGCTTTTCAGAGCAATGCTGTGAAATAATTAAGTAGACATACACATTAGTAGACAGATATTATTGTGAAAGAAATGTAAAAC